TTCTCCACCATGCTGTAGTTGCCCTTCCTGTTCAGATAGTCCTCGAACAGGTCGGGGTGCGAGTCCAGAAAACTTTCTACGTCAGAGAACAGCATATTTGACACTGCCATGTCTGCGCTTCGGACGGTCCTCAGTGAACCAAAGCCATGAAATTGCGCACAGAAATACCATCTATGAGGATTTACTCGACGGGGTCAGAGCAGAGAATCGTGCAGATGCAACAACTTCCACGATGCGCTACGCAGGCAAAACCTCTGGAGCTCCAAATCCAGGTCCTTCTCTGAGCGGAGAGGGTTGGAGAGTCCCTTTGCGCACCGGCATCTTCCTCCCCTGCGCTCAGCTAATTAGAGATAATTAACGCAAACTACCGTAGAGGCAAAAGTGAGAGTAGTGAGAGCATCCGAAACATCTCACACAGCCCCAGTACTGCGCACTCCCGTGGTTTGTGTCCTCCTGTGCGGATGACGCGGGCTGTGGTTGGCTCGCTCCCGCTGATGCTCGCTTCGTCACACAGTCAGGGAGCTCAGGGTTGCCTCAGCGATCGGCTCTCTGGCCATTTGAACTAGTTGCCCTCCCTCACGGAGACAAAGTGTGATGTTGATGATGAGAGTTTGAAGGAAAAATCGTTGAGGGGCAATTAAATAAAATTTTCATAAATTAATTAAATAATTTTTTTTTTTTTTTTTTTTTTTTTTGCAGCGTCCATGATAACACTGGGCTGTGTAGAGAATGCTTGCACATTACTTATAAGCTAGATAGATAGATAGATAGATAGATAGATAGATAGATAGATAGATAGATAGATAGATAGATAGATAGATAGATTACAAATTCAGAATCTCTCTCACAAATCACAAACTTTCGCAAATTTCTGATCTGCAGTGTTCTATTTCATTAAGTTATGTAACAGCGACGTTTATTGGCAGAGCGAGTACGTCAGAAAATGTAAATTATTACCGCTGAAACAGACTGCAGAATCGCCGTTTGAACGCCAGGGGGAGCAATACCCCAGCTGTTGCACTGCGGGGTTTATATGAGCGATAAGACGGTGGCTCTGAAGTGATGCCTCTGAGTGCACTGCTTTTCTCTCTCATTTGAACCGTCTACATTTAATATACTCGTATTCTACAAGTAATGGAACTACTCTGATGATGTGGCTTTTATCTGTTACTCTGATTTTTAAAGCCAGAGATCAAGCCACACATGTGAAAGATAGGCATCTACACATGTTAACTTACATAGGTTATTATTCAACTGATTATCTAATACATTTATGTATGACAGAGAGAGAGTCTTTACTCCCAGAGTGACTTATTTACAGTGTTTATGACTGGTAATCTCATTATGATAATGAGCTACTAAAAACCAAAATTCAATTTCTCAGGGATTGTGGTACAAGTTAATTTTTTACTGTCATTTATATATCTTGTCTTTGAATGTGATCCATGTACGTGTTTCCTATATTTTCCTGTTAAGCACTATGATAGCATTGTGTTCAAATGTCAGAATGTTAATAAACTTGCGTCACCTTCAATCAAAGATTTTAAATACATAAAAGTCAACCCATGTATAAGATATTACTATCAATACTTGGTTGGGGGGGGGGGGGCATTTGCATGAATTACTGCAGCATGGCATGGAAGTGGTCAGTCTCCAGCACTGCTGAGGTGGCAAAAAAAATAAATTAATTAAAAACAAAAACATTTAATTGCAACAATTAATTTAGCTTGCCTGCATTGTTGACTGGTGACTCCCTCTTTATAATATTCCACAGAATATCTGTAGGGTTTATGTCAGCCCCGTCTTCTGACCGTTCAAGCACAGTGACACCCTGACAGGAAGAGATACTTTGAACCGTGTGAGCAGGTGCCAAGTTCAGCTAGAAAATAAAATCTGTATCTCCATAAAGCTCATCAGCAGAGGGAAGCATAAAGTGCCCTAAAAAAGGACTATGACTACCTTGGACTTGATAAAACACAGTGGAGATATACGCTAGTAGATGACATGCCTCCAAAGTGCACAATTTACAGCTAAAAATAGCCGGTTTCAGTTAAAATAGTTTGGTTATGATGCTTAGACGCAGCTCTCTAAACCAGTGATTCCCAACCCTGGTCCTTGTTGTAGGACTATGAAAAGATCTACAATTACAAGAAAGGCCCCAATCTCTGCTTCATATAAACGTTACTGATTTACCTTTAACTAAACACAAAACAGATTTGTATTACTATTAAAGGAAAAAAAAAAAACTGAAAATGTTTAGTGTCAATTTTATTCAAGTAAATTACAAAATGATAAATATGATTACTAAGACAAATATACCATGAGGAGGTCCAACTCATTTTCTTCTACATGCACAGAACTTATTCATTATTTTAGATTACAAAAATATACCTGTTAAAACAGGAAGTTATCATATGTAAAAACAGCTATCACAATTTCATAAACAGTTTCAGCATATGTGACATTCGATTTCAGTTTAGTTGGTTCCTGCTCTGCCTTAGTTTGGAATGAAAGAGTCTCCTGAGCTGCTTAACTTCAGACACAAAGACAGGTAAAGCTGTGCAGAGGAAATCCTCGTTTACGAAGTGGATGACTTGAGATACGCGATGAGGTCGGCGCGCTCGTTCTTCTTCTTGATGCCAGCAAAGATCATCTTTGTCCCAGGGATGTATTTCTTTGGATTCTCCAGATAAACATTCAGAGTCTCTTCATTCCATACAATTCCTGGAAATTACAGTAAGTCCAAAAGTAAAGTCAAAGTCAAACAGCGTGATCCCCGAATAAGAAACTAATTCTTATTCACATTAAACAGTATTTACCTTTGTTTTTGTTGGCATCTGTGTAAGAGTAGCCATCAGCCTGGCCTGTCTGACGTCCAAACAGGCCCCATAAGTTGGGTCCAGTTTTATGCTTCCCGCCTTTTTCTACAGTGTGACACTGGGCACACTTTTGGACGAAGGTCTTTTTTCCCTTTTCAATGTCCCCGCTCATAATTTCTGGAAAGGAGAACACATTTCATTTGATTTTATTTAACAAGACATGCCACTAGGGGGCGACATCCAACGTGTTACAAAATCTACTTTTTTTTTTTTTTTTAAAGAACGAACAGAAACTAAGTGCTCTTAAAATGAAACAAAAGAAGTAACTATGGAGTTTCTGGATATTTAAGTTACTCATTTTCTCAGCAAACACTACAGCAAAAATGTTTTGTTGCTGTTGTCGATTATTTAAGCATATTGGGATAAAACATAAAGGACGAAGATCTTAATTTCAACTCCAAGTAATATGAAAGCAATTCAGCATTATGATTAAAATGTACTTGATTCAATGGTAAAAGGCTCAGACCGGTACCAGGCCACGTTGTGGGAGGCAGGAAGTGACAAACCCATATCTAACTCGCTTTTTCAAGTCGAAAACTCGACAAGGCGGAGCAGAAAACCCAACAACCATTAAACCCAACTTTTCAGGATCGTGGTCTTACCTTTCGGTTAATTTGTTGTGTCAAATCAGGTGTATCGTGAGAGTAACCTCTAACTACCCGGCTTTTGTCCTTCTACCGGTTTTGTCGACTGTCGAGTTGAGAAAAAAAAACGTGCTTCCTTATTTTAAAGTTAGTCAGAATTACACGTCATCAGTCAGCTGACGTTTCATCATCCGCGTCAATGTCAAAAGAAGAAGAAGAAGAAAAAACAAGGTCAAATATGTCAAAACTCATTGAGAAATCACTCTTCTGCGTCAATGCGATCCGGGAAACACCACAGGATATCAAAAAACGTCACGCAACGAAAGGAAGACATAAAGTGTTTTTTTTGTTATAAACTCATTTCTCAGTGATAGACATTAAGCTCAAATGAATACAGATAGATTGAGAAAGACGGAAAAAGAAAGAATTAAATAAAGAAATTCAAACTTGTTTTGGAGTCAGATCTAAAACCAAATATAGGACAACTTGATAAAGTTAGTGTAGATCACCAGGGAAAAGAATAACACTGTTTAGTACATTAATCAAAGAACAAAAACAATAATCTGAAACACTTTTTGAAATCAACTCAAGAAGAAAATTCTCAGTACTCTTTAAAATGAAATGTTGCTTTGACCTCTTTGTTTTTCTTTTTGCAAGCACATCAAACAGAAGGCACTTACCTGCAATCTACTGTGACAAAGAATCTGAGTTACTTTCTTCTGGCTGTGCAGATGTGCTAAGAGTTGCTGCCAGGCAACAAGACAATTTCAGCTTCAGTGCCAAATGTTGGTCTTGTTTATATTTCCTGGCTTGGAACTAAAATGTGGGTGTTTGCACTACCATGCTATACAAATGAATGTTTGGGTTAACAGCTTCTATTTATCAAAATTATCTGAATTTGAATAGGTCATATTAGATTGTAAATTTGATGCTGGTTCAGTCATTTTCCTGTTTTTTTTTTTTTTTTTTAAGTAAACACAAATCAAAATCAAAAATAAAAAATGTTTCACTTTTTTGCAAGACATTTGAGATGGTGCCAGTCGGAGAGTCTTTGGATAATATTTAGAAATGTAACGTGAGGCACATTTTTTTTTTCTGTTCAAAGGTCTGAGATGAATAATGATGCGTTCTGAGGCGTTGGGGTATTCTGTGCCTGAGACTTTAGGTTACTTGTTAATGTTTTTTTTTTTTACTTTGCTCATGTTTTTGGTTATAAACTAAACTATCTCAAAGATATTCATGGATAAGGCTGCATTATTGTTATGATCTGCTTGAGCTGCATGCCATGTGCAGAAGGTTCATATTGCTAATGCCAGGCTTCTGACCAAATTGCTTCAGATTTCAGTCATCACACCATTTTTAGTCTGTGCATAATCTCTTTTCGTTACAAGTTCCTGAACTTTTTTTTGTTGTTGTTGCTTGAGCTTAAAATGTACAAGCACCTTCATGACCGATGCCTACTGGCTGCAACAAAGTCCAAAAATCTTTTTCACCAATAAAGCCACCATGCAGCCCAATAATAAAATCAAGCCAAAGTATTTCAATGCAACTGCTTCAGAAGTTTAATTTGTTAAATTTCAACAGCCTGACGCTGACCCCACTTTTTTCCCCTCACAAAACTTACCTCCTCCCAATCCGAGTTTTTTCACGACTCCACCTCCGTGTTTTCGTGCTCGCTCGCTGCCCGGCTGCGTTCGATCCACTCCGGGCATTTCTTCCCGCCTAAAGCCGATCTTGCTGCAGGGAGGAGCGACCGGGGTGCAGTTGAGAGATGAGCTGAGCATCACAGCCCCGCATTCAAGGAAACGGACTAACACAGCACTTTTTTCTCTCTCTCTCTAGACTTCCCACAATGTTTCTGGCTTCCGTAAAGCACGAGAGCTTTATGATGTGAAAAAAGTGTGGTATGCACGCAGAGAGGCCGGTGTGAGCAGGTTTTGTCTCTGAGGAGCGGGGAATCTCTGCCCAGTCAAGGAAGACCCCCTCAATTGTTTCCTGCGCCAAGAACTGTAAAGACATGGTCATCACAGCGCATCTGTGGTAAGGCACTAAGCTTTTCTCTCTGATCCGTGGCAACCTAAATACCAGCACTGCTTGTGTTTGGTTGGTTTGTGACAGTTTCATCGGGTATTGTGATGAAGAGCTGCTGCTTTAGTGCTCCATTTAGCCACTCAGACTGAGAGCACAGCTCCTCATCCTTCTGTATTTGCATCCTGAGTGAATCAGCGCGGACCGGTCAGACATGACCACATAGCCAGCTGCTGGGATGCTACAACTCCTGCAGTATGTATCCAAACATCACGATCAAGGATCCATAAAAACATGGATGCTGTATGTTGGAGTAACCAGCCGACCAACCAACTGATGACTTTGATGATGTAATGATGATGCGTCACTCTTATATTCACCCCCTTTTTTTTAACCGAGTCCTGTGTTTTATTTCCCACACACGTTCCACAACTATTAATGAATCAGCAAAGATGATTATTTTCCATTATTATAGCCACCCCCAAAAAAGCCCCACTCAATCTGTTGCTTGGTGTTTGTATGGCAGCTAATTTAAAAAAGTTTCATCCCACACTATCACTCAGCCTCCTTTTTTAACTGAAGGTCAGCCAGTGACACTGCAGTTAGTCATGAGCCACAGAAATGCAAGAAGATAGGAGAGGTATGAAAAGCTCTGTGTAGTTTGTAACTAGCATTCCCTTTGAATGGATCCTGCTTTGATCTGCATTGATTATTGAGTCTCTGATGTATTACTGAGCCCTTGCTGAGGAATCATCCAGCTGAAAGTGTTCCCATGCCGTTTAGACTGCTACCTCCATGCCTATAAGACAGTCATAGATCTATATTATAGGGAGAATCTTACAGTATGATAACCTTGATTAAAATCACTGCTGTATTTACATGAAAAAGTTGAACAAAATGTAGAAAGTTATGTTATTTTCAATAACATCACAGGAGAATAACCAGCAATCGGTGCTTCTCCTGCTACAAGTATGCAACATACCGGTTGCAGCTATCTATAACATTTATTTATTCATTTCATTTTATATTATAATAGGATGTTTTCAGCTGTTTAACTAGCTACATAGTGCTGACTGTGGTGGGTGGTGCTCTGTTCATTTCCAGCCAAATGTCTGTGTATGTTGTTTGAGACCTTACATATTTTCCTATGAGACAGACGGATATTTCTTATAAGCGTGGGATTAATGTAGGAGCCTTCTTTCAGCCAGCTGACCAACAGTGTCAGCTGGCTTCTACTAATAGGAGTTTAAACCAGATGATCAGTTTGATAGATCATTTTAGCCATTCTGAAAATGTCACTTTTTAAAACCTTGGTACACTTTGATTCTTGTAACCCAACCATACCAATTACAACATGTTACTCAAATGAGGGAGTAATGATCTACACCCCAACAGTCATCCAGTTGGGGTGTAGGTCAGTTTGAGGGAGTGGGAATATTGTTTTTTAGTGGGAAAACTAATGAATGTGATAATAATTCCAACTTGATTCCAATAAACTCCAATTTATGATGGGTGGAAGTCCCTCTCCCACCCCCAATTTTTTTTCTGCTGTTTGTTACATTAGAGAATTGGTAAATGTCAGCATTTGAAAGTATGGCAGGCGTATGCCGTGACAGAAGATTGCCAAAAGATACTATTGATGCTAAATAATGTTTAAAACTTTTATCATCACTTCTATAAGTATCAAAATAAATGAATAAAATGATTGTGATACAACTCTAATTCCACACCTCCATCCCTACATTACACCCAGTTTGTGTAGTTTTGATTCTGATACCCATTTTGGGTCAGTCTGCTTGTGGCCCAGTGCCGATCTGCATTATATATCAAATCACAATATCAATGTGTTTGCGGTTGCATTTGTTCAGGACTGCTAAGATGCATTTGTGGTTGGATATTATATTTAAAGTGCCATGCATTCACACTACTTGCCAGTAATATATTTTGCCAGCTGGATGAGCTTTCGATGCTCTTGATGCATCTGAAATGTGATTTAGTGACTGAGATGTTGAACCTGTGGAGTAGATATTGTGATGATGGGAGGCTGAAACCTGGACTGTCGCTGTAATACTCAGTAACAGCATCAGAATTGGATGTTTCTTCTATTGCAAGCAGCTTGTTATGAATATGACAGATTATGACCCCTGGTCAAAACCAATTTCATCTAAGGGTCTCCTGTAGGTGGAGTGTAATTGCTGCAGTTGCATAACCATACCTCCTCAATTTAAACTATGAACCAGCATGAAAATGTGACGACCTTGAGAAAAAAATGCTACAGTTTTATAGTCAGTTGTTGATAACATGTGGATTTAAATCAAAATAGATTCATCACCAGTTTTTATCTTCCTACCTGTAATTTTAGAATAGTGTTAACTAGATTAAAGTGGTTGGTTAAGCTCCTTTAATTTCTTTAACTATCTGTGTTATCACAGCCGAATTAGTCTTTGCATAAAACGTAGCCATCTCCTTTCAGTCAGCTAACTGGCAGTGTGCAACAAGTATGTTATGAACAGTTTCTTCAACTCTGCTTCATGGAGATGGACTTTAGGAATGGTAAATTTGACTAACAAAGTGACTTATGGTCAGTATGAGTCTCTTTCTACGTAGAAGAAGTAGGGAATTGCAAGGAATTGCAAAATGATGCCACATCTCGTTGCCATTTAATTAACATCTATGTAGGGTAGATAGGATCTAGTTTTTTTAATATTTACCCTATAATTGAAAAGTATGACAGGTTTTTCATGTCCTACTATAAAGTGTGGAACCTAAAATTGTTAACATGATTCCTTAAATGAGATGCAAACTCCTTTTTTTCCCCATTTTTTATTATTATGTTGGGAACAAATAAGGTAGTACCTTAAAAGCCTTTCGATGTGTTATGCCTTGCTCTACCTCGATGATGTAATATGTGCAGCCCGGGACAAACTGGCTCTGTCCAGCTGGTGCTGTTTTAAAGAAAAAAAAAAGGAAGCCTAGTTTAAAGAGATGTGCTGATCACTGCTAGTAAACGTCACACAAAATCTACATCTATTTAGTCTAATATCCTACACTTAGGTAAAAGGTCAGAATCAATTGATTTGTATTATTAGCCAGTTGTAAAGTCAGACAGGGCTTGTCCTTTAATACCCTGTAATATAATATAAGGACACGAGGCTGCTTTTGTTGGCCCACTTTAATTATACAACAGAGTGTGGGACCAGCAAACTTGTTTCACTTTGGAGCTCTGGTCAATACTGGGAGGTTGTGTTTCTTGTATGTGATGAAAACACAGGGACGCCTGTCATTCTACTCCCATCGCAGCTGAGTTACCACTGAGCGTCTTCATGTTACATGTTGGTAATGAGTAATGCCATCAGTGTTCATGTTGCATTTAACAAGCAACAGAGGTATGATGTGGAGCATCGCAAGATGTTCAGACCCTAAAGGAGGCAGAAACTATCGCCATGACAACTGATGGCTGGGGCGTCCAGGGATACATCGAGCTACATTCCCAGCGCACGTAATCATTAGCAACTGGGAAATGGTAAATGTTGCATTGCAGATCAATGCATAGTTGAAATACTGTTAGGGTTGGGCATGTGGTATGTTTTTGGTCGTGCGACAGTGATAGAGACGCAATGCAGGATTGTGGGGTGTTTGACTAAAGCAGAGAAGGAAGGTGAGCAGTGTGGTCTTTTTTTTACAATGTCGAAAGAGAAGAGAAATGTATAGATGATATGTACTTAATACCAGCAATATTAATACCTGATATTGATATGTCAATTCATGCATCACTAGTTGTTTTTAAATAGTTCCACCTTTGGAGACTAAATGACTGACATATTAAGTTCAGAAATAAACGAAAATGTGTCACAGCTGTAAAAATAAATTGAAACCAGGTTCTTGGTACCTGTAACCCACCAATCTATCACATCAGATTGCCAGACCCACTTTTCTACTTTGTCCTGTACTGTATTGCCTGCCTTCATGTTTGATGCAATACACACCCACTTTTGCAAGAAGACTCATTCGTTTTAAAATACTTCACTTCCTCGCTTTCTCTCAGGAAGTCTTGCTCCACTAACATGAGGGCGAACGCACAGATAAACACTGTTAACAACAGTTAAGTTATTATATCCATCCTGTTTCCTTAGGAAGGAGCAGCTACATCACATTAAGTTATTAGATTGAATTGAAGCCCAATTAAACCTCTAGCCGACTGAAACGCAGTTGTTCATATCTGGTGGAAGAAGAACCATTTCATTGGTTTCTGAGGACATTTTTGTCTATAAAATCTCATTGCAACCTTTAGGTGTTTTGGAAAATGCAAACACAAAGGATCACTTCCTCATACTGTTACATGCTATTGCTAGGTGCTTTAAACAAGTGGTGTAACATCACCCTAAATCCTACAATTTCTAATTTGCATTGTTAACCCAAATTTGGCTCCTGAAATGAGTTTAGGCAGTAAACTGACTGGATGTTGTTGTGAGATTTGCACACCGTTTACTTCTGTTCAGTCATTATCTTCACACATGGAAGACATCTCTTGCATCAAGCAGACGCTCATTCATCTTCAACCAGAATAAGTACTATTGATTGGAGAACAATGGCTGTAAATGCAGCAAACGTCAGCTTCACACAAAGCTCTTGAAAACATTAAAAATCAATAAAAAGCGAGCCAATGTTCTTCTAGTTTGAAAGCTTTTTCTTCCTTTTCAGGACAATGTACAAAAGTTGGGTGTGTTAAAAATCAGAGACGTCCAAATGAACTTGCAAAAATCAGTCGGCGTAGAGATGTTCAAGTTTCAGCTAAGTGGTTTAGCGGTGCTTTTATAGCTGACTCATTCAACCTGCCTTGTCTTCATTCTGAGTGGACCATATTCATGAGGACTGGATTTAGAACAATAAGCTCATGACTCATTCTGTCCTGATCGGACTCTTCCCGGCACCACCATAACTTTCAGAGGATGGAGCAGCTTTGGCGTCTTGTCAAATTTATGACAAAGGTTTTATTTTATTAGCTTCAGCATGTGATGTTGCTATTTACAGTAAATAAAACTGAATATCTATTTGAGGCTAAACCAGAAATTGGCTTGAAGTACGGTGCTTTGCAAAGGTAGTCAAGTCCCTTTAACGTTTTCACATTTGATCACAAAAACCTCAGTTTATAATTTTTGCAACAGAAGAAAACAAAACAGCTCTAGATGGAGTCAAATTGGGTGGAGAATGCCTTTGTACATCAATTTTTCTGTCTTAATAAAGATTTTCAATTGGATTTAGGTTTGGACTCCGTTTAGATAACTGTTCTGAGAGATGGAGAACTTCCATATGTCCTCAAGTCTTTTGCAGCGTCTACCATGTATCCCTCCTGGATGGCAACGAGTTTAACGAGTTTAGCAGCTCCATCTATCGTCCCAACGCCTCTGAGCAACTTCCCTGACAAAAAAAAGTGTCCCCACAAACACGTTTTCTGTAGGCTTGCTATGTTCAGGGTCATGCACAGTGTTCGTTTTTCGATGCACATTCATGTAGACCAAAATGACCAAAGTGGAATCCCTTCCATGTTGGCTAAACCTGTTTAGTGTGTCACTAGCTACACTAAGCAAGTGCACATAACAGTTTCCATCCAATTTTCATCAAACTTTTAAAATAGCACAAAAAGAAAATGGTAATTAAGTTTGGACTTTCATGCCTCTGGTAAGGCAAAGACAAAGATGTGAATGGGAGCCTTGGCTAACACATTATTCACCAGATATATGTCCGTCTCCCCTTTTTAAATCCAAAAAGTGGCTCATGCAAGCTTAAAAATGATTTTTTCTTTTGTTTGCGAAATTCAGGATGTTATTTTGAATTTTCAGTAAACGGTACTGGAAAATGATGTTGCATTAGTATCTAACACAATACTTCAAAATGTGCATTAAAAAGCACTGATTGAACTATGGTTAAAAGAGTAAGGGGGCTGAATGCACCCTTTTCTGTTTTTCATGTTGTTAAATAGGGAGACACATCACATATAACAGGTCATATATATATAGATTTATATAACACAAACGACAGTAAAAGCTAAAGTTGTGCGGTGCTGGGAAGATCAGTCAGATCAGTGATGTAAGTGTTGCATTAGAGGAGATTGTATGGTGTGGTGCAAACCTACGGAGCAGAGCAGAGGGAGGTTAGTTGGTCGTCACGTTTTAATTAACTGAGAAAGTCCATATAACAGCAATCGGTTCAGCAGGGGTCGTCTCAACGTGTGAAAAAGCTGTGAACACAAGGCACCTCTTCTTTCCAGTGCTCAGTTATGCACAAGTTTGTTTTAGTTTGCCTCATAAAGTGGCAATAAAACAACACTTTTACCGAACACTTTCATTTTCCAGTTTACTTTTTTTTTTTAATCATTAGTGGCTGTTTGAAATTATTGTCACAAAGAGGGTTTGCATATGTCAATCCTCAGCCTAGAAATGTTCATTAAAAGTGAAAAACCGAAGTGAAAACAAATAGTCTGATTGTATTTTCACTTCACTGTTGCTGCAGTCGCTTCACATCCAGTTTTGTTTTTCATATCCTGAAAGACGTGTGGCCATAACTTAAATGTCATTAACGTTTACTGACAGTACACACTGATTTTTGCTTGCAAACTATAGGTTGTACTTACTGTGATTAATAATGCATCGGAAGAGTGACATTTACATTGAAAGCACATGCCACTTCTGCTTCTTACTAGGTCAAGGAGAGCGGATGTGTTAAATAGGCTGAGAGTGCAACGCATTGTGTGAACCGACTTAGCGCCTTGTCTTACAGTGGCTTACACCCTGGCTGGCTTAAGACAAGGCAGAGTGGGGATGATGACGCTATCGCAGGAGCTGAATTATAGATTATAGTGCATGAGAAAGCTGCACAGTCGCATGTGAGCATGCTCAGTGCTGCTGAGCGGACTCAGGGGAGGTTCCTCACACACGGGAGAGCCTAACCAAAACATCCTGCAGTTAAAACCACAGGGTGCTCTGAAGCGGCGTACACCAGTATCTGTCCACTGGATGAACACAGGCTGCTGATGACAAGACTCATCACTGCCTATTAGTTTGACACACAGTACAGCTATCAGTGGAAACACTTTGGAATATGTCTTTAGCTTCATGTTGCAGCAAAATGAAGAACAAAAATATGTACATATCTGAGCAATAACTATAATGTGCAGTGGATAAAGCCAGTCTAATAATAGATATTATTTCTGAAGATGTCTGTGCTGCACCCTGATAATCATTCAGTGACAGAAAGGCGTACTATTTTTCTAAATTAAAAGACCAAATGTGATTATATTTAATCTTTTCTGTAGGAAAAGAAAGGGGGTGGTTTAAATGTGTGCTTTTTGTTTTTCAATAGGTACATGTGGAGTTGCCAAGAGTTCAGGCAATTACACAGCAGCCCTGCAGGCAGTGTTATGGATGTCAGCATGTGCCATGACTAATGATGAAAACGGGCACTCCCCGCTGCTAGCCGAGCCGGTGTTTAACCAGATGTTTTGAAGTTAACTGATACAATTATTTCAGGAGATTACCTCACATTTAGCACATTTAGGTTTGAAAGGTTATCGATGTCGGTTGCCTGTGAGCTCTGGGTAGGCCTCTACCTTACAGCGCGTTGTTTAACGTCCTTATTCGTTTGGTATTTTCTCTTAAATATTCCAATCTAATTAAATGTTTAAAGGGTTTATCGTTAACTTAAATGGTCTTAATAATCACGTCAATAACACGCTGAAGTGGTAATTATGTTCTCAATGTAACTACAGCTTTTACAATCATTAAATTTTGGCTCACGACTAATTATCACACAATCAATTGCGATTAATAGATAAATGTGGTGTGTTTTTTTTGTTCATTAATGAGTTTTTTTTAGCACTTGCTGCTTTTTAGTAAGGTTGTGAATAATGCGAGCTGCACAATGGAGTTCACTTCACATTCTGTTGCAGAATCCAAATAGCCATCGGTTTTGTATACGGAAACCCTCCAAAATGCGTAGAAATGTAATTTATCAAAATTTTAAAAAATAATTGATATTAATGTTTACCGGTGTTAAATATTTTAACTTTGGGAAAAACTAGATGTTAAAATAAAAACGTAAAAACATTTTTGTTGTGTTTTTTTGTTTAATCAATGAAACAAATTGATCTCATTTTGTAGAAAATGGATCTGTAATTTATGCTAAATTGTGACTCCATGTCCTTTTCTGGTTGTTGAGATTAACCAACAAAACTTTCAGAAATCATATACCTTTCTTCACTTTGAACACCACTGACCTAAAACCTGCTAAAAATAACAATGCAGGTCATTTTGGATCATTACATTTCGGGTCAAATGTAATGATCCAGTCCTGGGTTGATTGATAAACAGGATGGGTTTGACCCAGTACACACTGTTAGATCCCTGACTCAGAAAATGGATTAAAGTGACTCAGGTCTAAATAAGACTAACTAATGAGCGGTTCAGCTTGGACAGCAGAATTTTAATACGACATCAAACACCATCAAACTACTGAACCAGAAAAAGAATAAATGAACACTTTATTGCCGATCACGTATTAGTTTTCTTTTTAAACTGCCGTGAATGTTTATGATGTTGCTTGATTCGTGTTATTTTTATGGGGGGCATCTTACAGATGATGTAATGCAAATTTCAATTTTTATGGACAATTAAGTTTTTATCTTTTTCTTTTACGTACAACACTGTATAAAATAATACTTTTTCTCACTACCTCTTTGGCCATAACGTTGAAAACAATGGCAAAAAAAGTAAAGTTGTAAAAAACAGTTAATATAAATACTTTGCCTTTTCATATCGACAGTACGAGCAACTATTTGACTTGAAATAGGGCTAACAGTGCAGGCCAAACAGGATAAATGTTTATGTATGAAAAAGTTGCAAAAAATATTCCTTGGGGATTATCAGTTCACTTTTGAACTGAAAAACCTTTCTTGATGAAATGAAAGAGATTATATTTTTTATCCTTGACAGTCCAAATTGTTAATTAGGACAACAATTAGTAATACTGACTGATAATAAAAGAGAGTGATCAGTTGAGCTTTTTGATGATCATATCTCGGCTTAACGCATGCTGAGTAATCCTTAGTGGCAGTAATTTCACAGCATAGTGGATAAGCTTTCCCCAGTCACTCAACACAAGTGCGAAGAAGAAGAAGAAGAGGAAGCCAGGCTTCAAAGAAATGCTGAGGGTCAGTCAGTTTCTCAGATTAACACGCTGAATTAAAGGAGGCTCGGAGCCGTTCAGATGTGGTAATTCTAAAACTCTTTTTATAAAATCACTTCTGCATTGCAGCGCGGGTTGAGCGAGTGGAATATGACTCCCTGATCCTTGTGTTTCAGATGAGCAGCAGGCTGTGAGTGTGAGGACGTCTCAGAGGATGTGCCCGACCTGTGGGCCCCAGTGCTGAGGAAGCTCCGCAGGGCTGACCGGTGGCCAGCATGTCTCTGCACCATCAGTACCAGCGAGGCCCCCACGGCCGCACCATGAGCACCGAGGAGAGGAGCTCCACGCCAGTGAACAAGACCTCGGTGCCGGTTCAAAAGAGCGCCTCCTCCTCTTCCTCGTCCCAGCGAGACAGCCGGCAGGTAACGGATCTTCTAACTTCAGCAGGTTCCTGGGAGTGAAGCTGGAGCAACGATGAAATTCTCAGGAGTGAATGTTGGAGTACTTTGGATGTTGGGGGGACTCTGTCAGTAAGGATCAAGGAAATAGTAAATTATGACCAAAACATGTTGCTATGCAAAAGTATTCACATCAATAATTATCTGTTTCACGTTTTGCCACGTCAAAACAAACTTTTTTTTCAATTTCGTTTTTTTACATATTCTGTTTGTAAATCTAAAAAGTGCAGAGTTCATTTAAGAAGGTTTAGCCGACAGATGAGACCAAAGCTGAACTGAAGACCTGCCCATTGGAGCATCATGCAGTTGGGATTTTTTTTTTTTCTATATCAGAAAAAGACAAACTAAGAAGAGTTGATGGAAAGATGGATGGAGATAATTAAAGGGGAGTCCTTTAAGAAAAGCTATAGAAAGTGGTGCTACAGTAGAATGGTTGAACAAATTTAAGTGTTTGAATCCCCCACCCAAATTTAAGAGCAAAATTTAACTTAAAATAAATTTCAGTTTCTACACGAGTACTTTGAAACATTGAAATCATAGCCAAGGCAAATAAATACATAGGTAAAAGAAGCAGCTATGCAGACATTTCTGCAGGCGTATTCATATGTGCCAGAATTCCCTTTAATCATTAGTCAGCCATATGCTGAAATAGCAAGATGCGACAAACACAGATGGATGTTACCATAACAGCTAAGCATTATGCATTCATTCCTCGTGAAAGGTTAAACACAATTAGATAAACCTGCTGCCCAACCTTTGCAAGATATGTGCTAGTTAGCAGACTAATCAGCAGAGAAAGAGCAGTGACTACCAAATGAGCTGCGCTCTTATGTCACAGTTCACAGAACAGTGTCTCAAACTTAACCCCTGGGTTAAGTCATCCGAAGCCCCCGGCCGTCCTTCCTCTCCTCTCGGAGCTGCTGTGTCACTGTGGCCGCACGGAAACGAGACACCCATACTGGAATCTCTGACATCACTGCTTTTCCGTCGGCACTGGCTGGTGAATATTTCATGAGAGACAGGCGAAGGCTCGGTGCCCCACTGAACATGTGGCACATTCTGCAAGGCCCGGTGTGGACGGCCAGTTTTGTCTGCGCAAGAGCAGAAGAAAGAAAGCCGATCTGAGGAATTGGGACAGTTAGCTGAAAGCCTGCGGCTTGATGAAGCAGACAGTTACCCATTCAGACGCTCCAGCTCATTATCCCTTTCTTGGCTGCAACCTTTTGATGAAAAGGTTCTCCGCATTTCCAGGTTTACATAGAGCCTGTCCAAAGTAGCCTAATTGATGAAGTCAGATACTAGACAAGCTGGAAGCTGAAAAAGAATTAAAAAAAAAAACAACAAAAGAAAAACCATTCTCTTCTATTGAACTATTGTAATGCTTTTGTAGCCGTTGGATCAGAATCTTGAATGAAATTTGATGGTTTGCAGACCGTCTATGAAGCTGCATTCTCTTTTTGGATCCTGTGTGTTTGGGTTTTACTTGACAAATCTTACCAAAGAAAGAAAAAGGATTTGCTGCTCTGCAGAGCTTCCCTCTCTGAAAACAGTCATCTTAAAATTAAAACATTGGTCTTTTTTTTTTTTTTCCCCCATCCCAAGTCTTGGGGAAATCTGACTTGTGGGAAGCTGCCAAATCAGTTGCAGATAAAAATTAGGGGGAGACAAAGAGCAGATGTTCATAATAATACAGGCTAAACTCTTGAAATGAGGATATGATTAGTTTAACATTAGTTCATTTAGAGACTGCAATGACTGGATGTCCCAAACACTACAAAATAAAGAGACAAACGATCAGACTTGGCAATGGATTACACAATTACACAACTGGCCTGCTGTACTGCTGGCGTTGTGTCTCAATAAACATTAACATTCCACAATAGAAATTCCCTTCTTAATTTATTTAGTAAAAATAACAAGACCTTCAAGAAGTCAAAGGAAGGAAAAAGGAAGAACCAAAGGATGAAAAAAAAACATACCTTAACATACATTATGCATATTAAATTAGTTTTAGGGAAATACTTCATAGAATAACAATTGCATGTCATAAAATGAATAGATAAAATATAAATAATTTAAGTCAGTAGGTCTAGATTATTTGTGTCGTCATAAAATCTATTGTAGGGAGGATTGGGAATGTGTTGCAGCTGGGACGCTGGGCTGTGATTGGTTGTTTCATGTATGCTGTTGTCTGTGATCTGCCACACATTACTTCCTACTGTATGAGTTATCAGAGAAGTAGAGCTAGAAGGCCTTTGTGCTTAAAACCAACGTAAGCGGTAGTTTCTTGTGGTGGGTCATCACGCTTCCCGTTTCACTGGGTGGGTATGTGAGGGGACCCGTGGCCCTCACACAGACTGTTCTCTCACACTTGATAAATCAGAGAAAAGGAGCAAGAGAGAAATAAGTGAATGAGACGTTCTCATCTGAAGCAGGAGTTTCATCTGCTAGAAACCCACATCGTCGTACCTCACATTTAAAACATTGACGGCGTAAGTGAGCCTACCCTTGTTACATTTGAAGTGGTGAGGTTAATTGAGCTGTCTGTGCAGAACTGAAATTGCAACAAAACTTCACGATGAGCTCATTCAGTTTTCACTTTTTTTTTTTTTCCCAAGCACATTCTGAACCTTCTGCTCATATTAGCTTCAGCATCAGGAAAATAAAGCTACATTTGAGCTTTGATGGCGAATGTCATGTATATCCATTATGTGTGAAGCTACGGATAATCTTTTTCTGACTTTATGCATTCCATACAAAATATCATCTGCTTTGTAATTTTATGTTGGCCTTTCTTATGGCTTTAGATGCTCCACCAATGACCTTTGTTTTGTTGGGCTTCAGTGATTTTTGTGGAAAAACAAAAGCAATGCATTCTTGTTTGGGGAAAGCCTTAATGGGATCCTGACCTCATTCTTGAATCGATACATGTCAACATACCGGCTGCTGATGGCTGCTGTTCACGCCCTCGTGGGAGCAATTAGGTGCTCCACCTGCAGTAAGCGCAGTTTCACACAAACGCATGGACATGCATCTAGTACACAGACATTCCTAGGTCCAAAATTCCTGAAATGCACCATTAAAACATCTTGCTTGGAGGCATCAGGACAATAAACAGATTTTTTTTTTCTTTTTTTTTTTAAATCTATCTGTATGTTCGCTACACTAGTTTGGTAGAAAGTGCTTTCTTTTCAAATGGAAAAAGATACTGGGAATATTTCTCAGAGCTGCACCAGCCTACGAGTCATCAGACGATACGTTTAAACTTGTGTAACTGAATCTGGTGTGTTTACGCTGTGTGCAGGCCTGTGCTTCTCTCAGGATGTCCACATCCTCTCTGTGTGGAAGCCAGGCCTCTTACTCTAAGCTTTACTGCTGAGCCAGCCAAATACTGCGGGAAAATACACCCTCAAAAACAACTGCTATGTGGTTTGTAGCTGCTGAGATATCATCTTTCACTGGCGATTGTGTTGGTGTGTGAGGCGTGAATAGGGTGCAAGTTTTTTTTTTTTTTTTTTTTTTTTTTTTTTACAGGTTCTGTTTTGTTATGCAAGTGATGGAATTTGTAGTTTTTGGTTGCTACTATGGAGTTTAAAACTACTGTCCAATTTTTGGACAGGAGTGCCACATATGAGCATGCTTGTTCTGTTGAGAAATAATTGTTTTTTACTGTAGCATGGACCACAGTTTTTGAATTTGAATTTAATTTGTGCACAATATTCCTAGATGCCACTTCCTGAACAAGTCATGGACTTGTCTTGAATCAGACACACACACACAGATATGGAGAGGACAGACCGAATAGGGCCAGTGGAGTACCTTTGGAACGTTGTACTTCTCGAGTTGCTGCAGAAAGTACGATTTCTGCTGGTCTTTCTTCCGAATTCTGCCTGTGTGTGACGTGATCCACAGCAGACAAGGTGTTGTTGAGGATTACGAGGCGGGGCTGAATTCAAATATGCCTAAATTAAATATAGTCTTTTTAAAACGCAAAGCCGAATTATCCAAGCTCCTTGTTCTAGAAAAAAAACAAAAAAAAACAACTATTTAAAGGTGTCAATGCCTCATGTAATTCATTAATCGCTTTTTTTCACTGTGGCAAGCAAGTCATTTATCAAAGATCATATTTCTTAGAGCGCATGCACACGACATGTTAGGAAAAACTGACTGACAGACTGTGCTTGTGCGTCACTGTCTATGCCCGAGACATAATGTGGTCTCCAGAAGCAGACTGTGGCACTGATATTTATAGGGCTGATTTAGCCTGAGGTCTCCCCAAAGAGTGTTTGTCCTTTTCTCTGCTCAGTGAAACCTTAACTGCAACAGTTTGATTCATTGCATCAAAGGTCTGCTGTGGCTGTGTGCCATCGGTGAAACTCTGAGGGCCTGTCTCATGAAAAAGGCTCGTCTAGATTGAGTACGTTGACTAAGCTGATTATCGCCTTTACCCAGTGTAATTTCTGGTTCGAACGAAGCCGTTTTTCGGGATTCGAATATCTAATTTGTCAAGAAGACGTACGTAAATTTGCTGACTGTGAACAAGCAAATTTGTGAGGCTAATCTCCTTAAGGATCTTGACTTTGAAAAGCAGGAGGCCTCTTACGGAATCTGCCACAAAAAATTCTCCAATAAAGGAGTAAACTTGCCAAGAGGGACCAGCTCATTCAGCTGTAAATTATTCTGCAGCGAGATCAATGAACGGAGGCAGAGTGCAGGAAATCACTTTGGCTTAATTCAGTTCAGTTCTGTGGGCTGCGCTACCAAAAGCAGCAACTCTTATTGTGGGCCCCATTTCCATGTAAGCCAGTAGTCAGCATGTGCCTTGGTATTTACGTGGAGTCGGTGCCGTGGATCTTTTTAATGGTTTGGGAAGGGCAGTGTATTTAAATATTTGCTACACAAGCAATTCTTTATATAGTGTACCATTGATTTATCAGTTCAGACTCATTTAAAAGTCTGATAACAGACGGGAAGTTTGCCTGAGGCTTTCCTCCATGACAAATGTTTCATTGTCGCCCTATACGGCATTACGTGTATACAGTAAGCTGCAGCTGTTGTGTGTTAAATGAAGAGGCATTGCAGTATAACCTTTTTTGCAGGTAACAGCTGACTTGTAGCGGTGGTGTATATTTTCATGTCCTCCACTTCCCCATTTTCACAAGGCATTTGCCCCCGCAGTGAGTGGAGGAATATGACCTCATTACCACCCAGATCTGTTTGCCGACTTGTTAGATTAAGCAAGCTGTTGTCCTCCTTTGTTAAATGTCCTGCAAACCAAGGGTAGGTGTCATCATGCACGCCTGGCGAGACATCTTGAAGGTTGTAGCGTCACATGGTGCAGCGAGAAGCCACAGGCTGTTTGTTGCTCGAGAAGTGAAGCTTGTGCATACTAAGTTGACTTTTTTGTTTCAGAAGCTGCAATGCTGTTGATCCAAGTGTCGAATTCAAAATCTAATCAAATGCATTAAGTGCATCTTATTTAAAGATTTGATCAATTTGGCTAAAGCTGACCTAAAATAAAACAATTTGCTTTTATAATTTTCCTTCATTTGCATCTTCTGGTGTGATTTTTTTTTTTTTTTTTGCCTTCAGATCCTTTAAAAGGTCATTGATTACTTGGTTTTTAATACAGTACGTACATTATTAATCACAATATTCACTTTGACATTTAATGTGTCTTACATTTTTCTGTACTTTGTTAATTTTATCAGGTCATCTGTCTCAGCCACAAGCCGTGACAAGGAACTGTTACTCTGCTTTCTTGTGTTTAGGGCTCCATGCTTAGACCAGTTCTCTTTAGTATGTAATGTTTACCCCCTGTGTAAAATGGCACAAAAAAATTGATTTTCAGCTGTTACAGAGATATCAATATGTGCAATACTGCAAATTTAAAGAAGTGCTTGAGTGCAGTATCTAAAAGGCTAACATTTTTCTAGCATCATGCATTCGTGTTCTGCTTGTCAATAGTTTATTTGGCCAGTTGCATGGAGTTTGACTGCTTGCTATAGACATAATTGATATATATTTTAGCGACTGTAGATGCCATCGCTGACAGAAAGGTGTTAACACATTATGATGGCTGAAAAGAGAGCAGACTGATTAATTCACTATTTGATTTTCAATATTAACGTCACGTCGGATGCGTCTTTTTCTAATATCGTGGAACCCTAATTTCAAACAGTTGTTTCTAATTCATTTTTAGAAACAGGTTGTGAATTTACTGCTGACGCTCTAATTCACACAGGATCAGAAATATACATACAAACTCAAAAATGTGCATACATACTCTCATGTTTGGTTAAATGTGCCTTAGTAAATTGCAGAGAGCCAAACACAGACTGGATACTAAACAACTCTTACCAGAATCGGTCGGGCTCATTTACGTTGGACGATTTCTTGGCACTGACCCGGCTTCTAAGCAGAGTCCATACATTTTTAAAAGCGTTGAGGTTTGGGCCATTCCGGCAACTTAATCTTACTTTATCCATTCCAGAACCAAATGTAATGTGTTTCGGATCGTTGTACCAGCAAAGCGCTACCTCTGCTGAAACTGACCTGGGTCACATTTTCAGGAACATGTCATGAACCACCAGGTTCAATGACTAGATGGTGATACGGCAACTTATTGTGGAAACAGTTTAATGTCAGCATGGTCTCGGGGAGTGACAATCAAGGAAGATTTCCCTGCTCCGAAATCAACACTTTCAAGCTGTCTCCAAAATCCATTGCGTCAACTCAAACCACCAACTAGAAACACTGGGAGAACAAAAATGTCTTTAATTTAAGGTAAAATACAGACTTTTTTTTTTTTTTACAGTGAGGTTAAACCTTGAACACAGGCCTCTGAACTGTCCTTGAGTATCATTCATGTCAGGAAACCAACCGATTTAGATTAATTATGCCAAAATTTAATAAGTAGAAAGATTAAATGCCAAGACAGGAATATGCCGGGCCGGTGATGTTGGCTTACAAAAGCATGCAGCATGCAGTATATTTGCATGAATATCAGAATCTACAATATACTACAATATATTCAAACCTGAAATGTCCAATGTGTATTTTTTGAATCCACTGAAATTTTGTTGCATCATCATTTATGTCTGGAAAGAAGTACTGTTGAAATACATATTTGAAAGTTTCAAATTACATGACAGCGATAGAGATACCAATCCTGACCAATAAAAACTATTAACTGCATTAATTTGCAGGTATGTATTGGCAGCGACCCCCATAATTATTTTCTTCCTTTAGTCCGTGAAGAGCAACAGCATTTTCTTTAGTGAAACTGATGGTTCCGCAGAGAGACAGAAAACAGGATCATGTTTCTTACTCTGTTACTGGTCATATTGCTGCTATCAAATCAGTGACCTTGTCCTCCTGCCTGTCTCCTCCTGAGGGACAAAGGTTGGATGTCACCTGTCCCTGCATGACCTGCCCACCGTTCCTCCCCCAGAGGCATCATTTTGATTTACAGACCCTCTCAGAGCTGAAAGAGCGTAGTCAGGAGAAAGCTAATGAGGTGGAAATGCTGAGAGAGCACAGGGGGACTGTGTTTTGTTATTTTAAAGCTGGCTTAAGAGAAGCACTACACGTGTTCCTGTTTTTCCTATGACAAGGCCATATTTTCTTTTTATTACAGCCTGCGCGTGTCCTGTTTGTGTATCACACCAGAGGAGTGAGTGGATTAGTTCTGACACGGCTGTGGTATTTTTCTTCCTCTTCCAGGAGGCAGACAGCTGGGAAATAATCGAGGGACTGAAAATCGGTCAGAGCAACGTCCAGAGGCCCGACAAACATGAAGGTTTTATGTTGAAGAAAAGGAAATGGCCCCTGAAAGGGTGGCACAAGGTACGATCCAGGGGCCAGGCCAGACACAAAAGCTTTCTCTTCTACAGAGAATGCACTCTCAGATTCATCCATCACCAAACTGTGTGCTGAATATTAAAAGGGCGCTTCTTTGAAGTCGTTCTCTTTATCATTTTTATGGCTTTCTTCTTATTTAACAACAAATTGGTACTCTTGTTTTTTTTTTTTTTTTCCTTTTATTCTGCAGCGTTTCTTTGTTCTGGACAACGGCATTCTGAAGTACTCCAAGACCCCTATTGATGTAAGTAATCCTGACCGTCGTCCCTGCAGGCAGAAACAGAGCTGCCCGGCCCTGACCTGTGCTAGGAGAGACAGTGAGTCAGCTGAGACATCTGCAGCGTGTTGCGTCTGCACGAAAAGCAAAACTGTCCGACAGAGTGGAGACGCGATGCATGATGGTGACAAAAACATTTTAGTCTCACGCATTTTGGATTCTCGTGTCTGCAGTGGCAGCACTGCGATCAACATTTGTTATGAACCTATTAGGAAAACGTAAAATGTAACGCGTGCAGAAACCACAGAAATTTTACATACTAAGAAGATAAGCTGTGTTGTCCAAACAGTTGCTCCTAGAAATCTTTAGGTTTATTGTCAACATTTGAAGCCTTTTAAGTCTTTGCGGTAAGCAAATTAAACGAGAGCTGTTTAAGCAGCGACATAAAACTAATATTACATGGATTATAACCAAATCTTTCACTAAAACTTTCTTTCACTGATTACTGCACTCATGATTCAACCTCCTGAATTCATCACTGCACACAGATTTACAGATCGAATGCATTCTCAGGGACTCGTGATGTAACCAATCGAGGGCTTCAATAATTGCATTTTACTGCATGTTGGAAAGATGGCTGTCCAAAATGTTTAGAGAACGTTGCCTGGCACAAACAAGGAAAACTGTACAAAAAGATGGCAGAGACCCTGAATCTAACTCGAGATACATGTGAAGGTGTCATCAGGACATCCTGGGAGAAATATCTTATCGTAAACCAATGTCAAGCTGAAGCTTGGGTGTTCAGGCCTTCAGACAACAATAATCCAAAGGATATCTCAAAGTCCACAAGGGTTTGGTTTCAGAAGATGTGTTAATAGGTAATAAAGAGGAGGGAGTTTTACCCTGACTTGAAATCTTTAAAATCGTGGCATTTGAAAAAGGCGCTTGCAGCCTGGAAATCTTAAGAGCATCAACGTTTTGTCACCATCGAAGTGCAGTGGGCAAGATGTGGCATGTGCTTTTTTGTTTTCCCCTTTAGACTGTTGTCGCACAGTAAAAAACGTGGAGCACTGAGTAACAGGCAGGTACTGAGAGTCCAAGTTTTATTGGGGCTGAAGGACTTCCGCTTTGCACTTTATTGAACAATTCTGTTGCCCTTAAATCAAAAATAAACCCTTGTAGCCTTTATATAATTGAAGACAAAAGAGCGTTAGTGAACTGGAGACCTTTGACCACGATGGGTTAAGATTCCTCATGAATCCAGCTGATGTTTTGCAGTCAGTCATGTTGTCCACAGGTCGTACCAGCAAAAGGATGGTTTACTAAATACGAAAGATGCTTTTCATGACCAACTCTAATCTTGGTCATGAATCTCATATTGACTCCAGGCTTGTTTTTGAAGTCGTCTCTCATATGATCATTTAAATAAAAAGAACTGTTCAGATAAATCTTTGAGTCCCAAATCTGTGTCAGAGATACTGATGGTGTGTTTAAATTATGAGGAGGCCTGGATGTTTTTGCCAAACGTCCACAGATTCAAAGGGGAAAGCTTCATGGCAGCATCGACGTCGGCCTCTCTGTCATGTCCATCAAAAAGAGGGCGCGTCGCATCGACCTGGACACCGAGGAGCATATTTATCATCTGAAGGTAACACTCGAGATGACTCACTGCATCAAGGTGAAAAACAGCAGCTGGGTAAGTGACAGAGGTCAGCGTTGGTCATCTGCTTCCTGTCCAGGTCAAGTCTCAAGACATCTTTGACGCCTGGGTGTCGAAGCTGCGCCACCACCGACTCTATCGACAGAATGAGATAGTGCGCTCTCCCCGGGAGCCCACGATGCGAACGTTTCCTCCTCCGGCTGCCATGGAGACGCCCCAACCCTCCCCAATTGTAGTAAATGAAACAAAGGTGAGCTTCTATTCCTCTATTCCTCTGTTAAAACTAAAATATGGGGGAAACAACATTTACATGTTAACATTTATCTACTCTTTTTTTTTGTACGTATGTAAACACATGATGAAAGTGAAAAGAGGAAGTTCTGTTCAGGGGCTAAATTGGCTCCTTGGTTTAATCACTGCCATTATTCTGATATCTTCATCACAATTCCTAAACCAACGAGAGAATTACTTGCATCATTTGCAAAAGTCATTCCAGTTCTGGATAAACACTGGAAAGTATTTTTATTTCCAGATTTTGTTCATCATTAATGTCAATAAGTTGTATCCTTCTTTCCTCAAAGGCGATTTTTTGATTCTTGCTGGTTTCATATTTAAAACTTGACCTCTGGAGAAAATTCTGCCTTAAATTCCCTGCGAAGTTTTTTTATTATTATTATTATTACTATCAGAATTTCAACATGGAAATGCATAGAAACCCTGTGGATTATGGACATATATCTGCCTAACATAATAAAGCAAGACATGAAACTGTATCCAGACCATTAAGATAACAAAACGGGTTGCCCATTCTCTGTAAGAGCGCTTGAAGTGTGAGTAAATGTGAGCACAGGGCCAGAGCAGTTCCTCCTGGGAGTGCTGCTGAGTCACATGGAGGCCATTAGAGGTGATCAGTAGGATTTGGATCCTGAGCAGCCGGCTGCAGCACGATGAGCTCTCCCTGAAGATTGGCTCAAATGGAAGGCTTCGGTCCTGGAGTCAGAATTATCTGCTGCATCAAACACTGCTGGAAGCCTGGAACAAAGACGGGTTCAGAGTGGCAGCATTTATTCAAGCTCAGTATAATAGCTCATTTCTACAGCAGCTTTTGTAGAAGTGCTGGTTGAGGACAAAGTGTAGGGTCGGTGTTCAGTTTCCCGATGGGTTCTGTGTAAAATTGATCCAACTTTGATGAGCAGTCATACGTTTTTATGTTCTCGTCATCAGCATTAATGCTCCATTGTGGGGTTTTCATGATCATCAGTAGGACATATGTTTTTTTTTTTTTTTGTTTTTTTTTTGGGGGGGAAGGGGGGGAGGGGGTGTTGCGACGCCCTTTCCATGCACATATACATATTATACATCATTGGAAAGTTGGGATTCCTGAGATTAAAATGACGGATGCCAATCATAACTGTAGAAGCAGTAAGTGGTTTTATCAAACCACATCGAAATTCAAAATAACGTCCAGTTCACTGGACATACACTGGATGAAGTCTCATATAATTGACAGCACAGAGCCCTTTTGAACAAAAACAGACCTTTCGCATCCAGAAGAGTGAAATTAACGTACTCCAATAAAAATAGTTAGCTCACAACAAGTCTTACGTCCACAATCCAACATAATCTGCTGCTAAAATCCTTCAAAAATTCATTTGGATGCGTCTGTTTCCCACAAAGTTGTGTTTGTTTTGTTTGCTTTGTTTTAAGTGCTCTGCAGGAAACTCGACAAGTAATTCTGAAGCATTTTTTTTTTTTTACATACAAGCTCAGATACACCTGCAGTAATATTTAGGTAAATGCTCCCTTGCAAGTTGCACCTAGACCACACTGTTACCATCAACAAGCTTCTTGTATGATTCTTTGCAAGATATTTGATGACGCCAAAATGAGTGGAGTCCATGTTAAAAACATAATTCTTGCATTTTAAACAAGATTCAGTTCACTGAGCACTACATAAGCTCAGTGTTAACCTGGTTTATGCTTTCCAAAACCTGTTTCGATGAGTGTGGCATCATTTTCTGTCTCAAGTTTCAACTAGCAGCCAAACAGGCCCTCAGCATGATGCTGTCACCACCATGTATTACATTTGGAACTGCGGCTATAGGTTTAAGAGCTTCTCCTCAGCTCTCCCGATCACTGATCCAAATAGCTCAAACTTGATCTTGTCTGACCATAAGAAACTCTCTACTGAGAGCATTTAGCTCATCTTCTAGTTTATGTTTGGCTTCCTGGGTTGTTCTCCCCAGAGAAAAAAGAAGAAAGAAAATGGATTTAATTTCCCATTATTTAAATATTATTTCCGAGGAAGGAAACTGCCTTCCTTCTTTACTGCCTATGTTTTCCTCTTTTTTGTCATGTTGGCACACAAGTGCAGGCAAAACCAGAGGCGGACGGTAAAGTGCAGAGTATTTCCTGTAACAGATTAATGGTGGAGTGATTCATAGTACGCATTTTTGAATCTGATTTATGTAATTTCGACCCAGTAGCAAATTGAAAAACTAAAACGGATTTTAATTTGTTGATTCATTTCCTGGTTTCCAACAATTTTTTTTCCCCACATGCTTCATTACTAGGCCAAATAAATTAAAAGGTTATCAATTACACAGAAAAACTGAGCTTTTCTTCTTAGTCCAAAAAAAAACAACAACAAAAAAACATCTAATTTTAATCACCATCTCGCTGCATTGTTTTTATAAAACTGCTTTAGTTGATCTAATATTAAACTTGTTTCTTATAAAATAATCTCTAAGTGAATCCCTTCTGCTTTTATCCAGAATATTTCCTGGGTATCATAGCTAGCCAGTGGTCTGGCCTAACTTGTGTGCAATAGAATCTGACGCGGTGCCTCGGACAGATCAGCCCGTCTGACCCTGTCTGTCATCACCTCACCTCAGCAGGCCAAGTCCAGCAGCTTGCCGTGGCAGCCGGCGGCGCCCAGCAGCAGCAGCAACAGCAGCCTGCAGGCCTCCTACAGCAACGGTCAGAGCAGGGTGGCCGCCTGGCTTCAAGAGTCAGAGGAGATGGACAAGTGTGCAGAGGGTGAGCGAGACGAAAGGCCACAATTTGGGATTTCACAAAAAAGTAGATTTTACAAAACAGTAGATTAAATCAATCTCGGATGTGACTGTGCCATAACACGTAATGAGTTGGTGGGTGTGAATTTCATTTCCAGAGCTCGCACGTTGCCAGTCTAACCTGACCGAGTTAAGCCGGTTGTTGCAGAGCCTGGAGATCCTGCAGAGGACCCAGTCAGCGCCCAACTTCACAGATATGCAGGTAAAACGCACAGCCGAGAGCAAATACAGAAACACACGCATAGCGGTGTCGAGGATGAAATTCTAGTCAGCACTTCATTAAAACTTTTTTTTTTTTTTTTCAACTGGAAGGTTTGCTGCTGGTGAGAAGTTTGCATACGTTATTCATTGGCATGAAGATCTTGTTCATTTTGAGCTTTTAAAGACAGACTTAATCTGTTTATCTGTGAAGGTGCAACAGCTGTACAGTAGATAGTGTCTGCTATTTTAAAAACAGAATTAGGTGGACAAGCTTAACCACAGAGTCGAAATCATACACACTGGTTCTAAAAAAATAGCAATAATATAATTTTTAGATGTGTTTTTTTTTCTCTTATTATGATTTTCATTAATTTGTGTATTTTTGTTCTTTTTTTCCTGAAGCATCTTGTGGTTTTTACCTGTTAAATGGTGATATATTAAATAAACTTTAAATAATTATTGCTGCATATAATCATTCTTCTTATCCACATAGGTAAATCTTATTTAAATTGCTTGGTTTCCTGGCACAAATACCTTTAAAAACTTACGAAAAACCTGCTATATCAATTGCAAAAACCAGTTTTGATGGCTGCTGATGATCATTGTCCTGTTGGAACTCCCAAATGTGTCCCAAGTTTCAGCTTTTGAATAATATTTGCACCTTTAAAATCTCTACGTTGAAAAAAATATATTTATTCATGCCCTTGATGAGTGTACGTCTCACCAGCAGCGTTATGTGTGTATATATGAGATACAGACAGAGAGGAATCTTCAGGTAAAAATGGAGACGATTAGGTCTTTTGTTAGCTGGAGTGAGAAATGTGTCCCATTAGTTGCCGACATTTCATTCCTCTCTCACCATTTGCATGGCATGTGTGTTGCTCCACAGCTGCACTGTGGCTGCTGACCTTTGCGTTGCAGCGCTGCATACACAGAATAACAATGCCTGTGGCAATGGCCGTCAGTGGGCGGTTAACCGTTTAAGAAATTAACGTGCGACGCTTGACTGGTTGTGAACTGAATTATTTTACGAAGTATATGAAACCAGCAACAGTAAAAGATTATAACAATTGAATTGCATTCATGATTGTTGCTGAAAAGAGTCTGAGTGAGATTTAAAGTATGCAGCCACTGTGTATTTAAGCTTTAATCCATTTAGTTTGTGAACCAAACTAAAAGGTGTATAAGATTTCGCAACACACATGCTACACTGTCACCTGACACATCCAGCACATATAACCTATCATTATCTATTCATTTGTTGTGTATTATAAGTGTTTGGCTCAAATTCACAAATGAAACAACACACCATCGTTTTGTTTGCGGCCTAATTTTCTTTTT